CGCGTACCAAACATATACGTTACTCCACCAGATGTACCTCTGCAAGTACAAGCACGAATAAGTGCATCCGATAGTTGACCAACAGCAGCAGCCAATCGCTCAACGGACAAAAGCACACAACAGCAGCAGCAACAACAGCAGCAACAGCAACTGGCACTCAGCTTTATACTCGTGTGTTGTTGCTGCAATGCATATTGCATGCGACACATTCTTCTGTGTCTGTTCACCACACACTTCCCAGCGTCCAACGATTTTTTTATTTTTTGTTTTTAGTTACTGTTTTATTGCAATTTGGCTCATTGCTGCGTGCAACACTTACGTCTGCTGCTGTTGCTGACGATTGATTGCGGCATTTGCTGTTGACAAAAGAAAACTTAGTATATTTTTTTTTTTTTGTTTTGGGTATTTTATACACCGCAACAATATTTTTTAATGCAATTCATCCGTCTATGCTTTCCATTCGCATTTGTTGTAGTTTTTTTTGCGTTTGCTTTTGTTTTTTTTTTTTTTTGCAACTTTGTTTAAGTTTTTGTGTTTTTGCATATTTGTAGTGTTAATCGAAAGGTGCTCCGCAACATTTATACGCATATTGCCATCACCTCCTCGCTCATCGCATCGCTCAATATTCACACATGTGCTGCCGTGTGCATGCTCATTACCAATGCTGTTGCCAATACATTCCTTCCTTGCAACTACCATGCCACACTACAGCTCTTCATCATCAATTTGATCGCCGCCTGCCGCTTACCGCTTGCCGCTTGCCGCCTGCTGCCTTCTACCTTATGTCTGCCCGCTGTTTGGTGCTAGTAGCTGTTCGTATGCTCCGCATTGCCTTCGATGCGCTCGCCAATTCCTTTTGGCATTTTGAAATTAATAATTGCTGCGTGCGGTCATGTTTGACAGGTGCTTTTCTTTATCTCATACAATCATATGTGAAGCTCTCTTAAGTATCATCAGGCACCAATATCGTCATCATCATTGTATGACTAAAGTTATATTGCGACATGATGTTCTGCGAATACAGCTTAAAAATTAACCATCAGGACACATATACTTTTGGATATCTTTGAACTAATTGATTCTATATATAGAGCTATATATACAATCTGTATACTGAATATATAAAGCCCATATAGGAATATGTCATATTCCTCTTCTTTTTAACTACAGATCTGTCCTAATTACTTATATATTAATTTTGTGTTATATACAGTCTTTTCGTTTTTAGCATCGAAAAACCATCACCCGCATTTATGCCATTTACTTCGGGAACACATTATATATTAAGCTTTCATCTTCTTCTTTTACATTCAACATTCAACATTCAACGATTTTGATGCAGGTGATCATATGATTTAACAAATATTTAGCTTAAATTATTACAACAATAATCTTATTATATTTTTATTTTATACACTACATTTAACTTAAATTGATCACAATTTCACGATATTTATTCCAGACATAATAGCACAGATTGAATCAATAAATCCCGAAATTATAATGGTAAAGATGAGAGTGAACCCAGAGAGCTGGCAAAGGATGGGTCATATGTGATTTAAGTCCTAAAAACGAAAAAATTAGACTTAGTAAGAAATACCAGAAACTAGAATAATAAATAGTACAGACACTAGGAAAATGCGGTGAAGAAGTGTAGGTCTGTACGCAGCTCGTAAATCACAAGTGCAAGGCTTGAAATGCCAACATTAAAAGACCCTCCTCGAAGTAATGCGAAAGCAGTTCCGAAGAGGAATAAGTCTCACCGAAGAGGGGGTTGTTTAAACGTATATTACATATTAATGATAGGAAATCGGGTGCTTAATATATAGGACACTTAATATTGTTAACGAATTTGTTAATTACATTACTCATATTAAATTACAACCACTTAAACAATATGATAACTTAAGAAAATATTGCAAATTTATACCATCACATCTGCTTTGTGGGAAGATTGAACAGTTATAAGAGAACTATCCGAATACATAATATATTATATATTTTATATATAATAAAAATTAATTGCTTTTTGTTGGTAAGCGCAATACTTCAAAATAGCTGGATAGATATAATTAATTCTAATTAAAAACTATTCGTTATAGTTCCGATAAAGTCTGAAGCAGGGAAAAATTGGAAAAGTGAAAATATCTGAAAATACGGATAGTACTTTTTTTTATTAGATTATTATAAGATATTATGGCATAACTTAAATTTTCTCCTGAACTGCTGAATCTGTTTACATTATATTTATGATAAAGCTACTAAGCATAAGCTCTACCATTCTTATTTCAAATCAATATTCATGCACACCATAAGACAAAAATTTTTTTTAAAATCAGATTTTCTGCTAACCCCGATTTGCATGATATCATATTTATTCTATGTAATTGCTATGCCAGAAGACGGAACGTTAGAACGGAACGTAATCATTTAGGATAATCACCATACCGAAGATTTTTGAAATCGAATTTTTTCCATTTTTACATTATACAAAAATGTTGCATTGTGTCAGAAGGGGGAATAGTTTGAATGAAATAATTCAGATTAGTTCCCTATTGTTTAGAAAATCTTTTGTCTATGCGCTTTGTATGTAGAGAAGTACTAGAAATATACTAGTTTGAGGAACTAATTTCCGTTCTTTGTAAACTTTTTCAGGTTTTAGTTACATTCAGGCTGGAACATTATTGTTCATAATGATTTTCCTATAGCTTTCCGTCATATTTCCTTTTTTTTTTTTCTAGTACAATTAACAGTTTTTTATTAAAATTGTTATGTGCAACATCGGTTTTAATTAATAAAACGATTTTTAGAACAGTCAAAATTTTATCAAAATGAGTATTAAATTATTTAGTTTCAAAGAATGCCGATTTCATGAATTGTGCAATAGAAGGGCTAATGTATTCAGTACTTCTATATAAAATTAAGTTATATCTCAACACATGTTCTACTATTTAAAAATTTAATAAGTTCGGCATATTGGGCTATTTAGAAGGAATTAACCATTAAACAAGTTTCAACTGTGGGTTTAGCTGCAACGTTTAGTAATCTTTCTATCTCAACATAAGAAAACTTCATCAAAATATAATATCCTCTCTTTATGGAGTTCATAAAATAAATATTTAATTTAATTTTTGATTTTATTTTCAAATTTTTAATATTGTATATTGCAAACCAAAAGTAAGTCCACACTTCACAACAGTAATAATCAGAATGTTATTTTAAGTGACCGCTATATGCTGTCTGCAGTGCCTTTAGCAACAAAAAACTAATAAAATATAAAAATTATATCTGTCATACAATATTTAATCCTTCCCATTGGAAGCTGCGTGAAATGATGCAGGAATTAAAACGACTTCACACTATGAACGGAAAGCAGCTACGCAACGGCAATGCAAATAAAACTAAAATCAACAGAGAAACACTGTCGAACTGCAAGTCGCCTGCACTTCAGAGGTGTCTTCCACTGGCGCCAGCTGCACAGTAGGAGGCGTTTTATCCCGTCTGAACAGACCTTAACAATTAAAATGCGCACAGCAGCGTTTTTAAGTGATTTTTGATTTTAAAACCGAACCAAAATAAAACTGCTGGACATGAGCAATAATTGTTAAAATACGAGTATTTATGCAAAATATTCCCAATGTTTTTACTAAGAAAGAGCACAGGTATAAACTCTCACAGGCAATACCAAAAAAAGACAAAGTCAGGAAAAAGTGTGTCATTAGAGCTCTTTATCGTTGCCACTACCATTCCCTACTGCAGTCTCATTTTGTAACAACATTCTTGGCATGTGCGCAACACTTTTATAGTAAGACCAATCTATTTTTTACAATATACATTCTCTGTCCAAAATATCTAAAATTATTAGGGAAAACACACAAAAAAAAATATCATCAATCAACGAACTTCATTATGTTACCTTCAAAGTGATCTCCATTAAGTGCAATGCAACTATGCCAGCACTTGCTCCAGTCCTCCAAACATTTTAGAAAGGCCCTTAACTCGTACCCGCAATCCACTCGACACATTAAATTTAAAACAAGAAAAAAATCACGCAGATTGAGAACACAAGTAAGACAATCCTGGTGCCTGGACAATCACTGTCGTTGATTGCTATTCCACAATGAAAGCCTTCTGCCATCGCAATGCAGTCCAAAGTATAGCTGCAGAAACAGCTTATGTTAACTCTGTAGATAACAGAGCGCGATCATATCTCACATATTAACACAGTACAAAGTGAACAACTTCACTTCATCTTAACAGGTAAAGAGAGATGAGCACTTCTAAAATCGAAGGATAAAAATGGACCCAAGTCGTTTCGTGGTCTACTTTGGCAAATCCTTCACTTCAGTGAGGTTACTTGTTAAACGGTGCACTGTCCCAACATCCCGCAATATATATATAAATAACACAGTACAAAGCAACCAACAGATAGGAAGAAAATTGTGACGTTATCTACTATATGCACTCTTTGAAGTACAATATAAGTTTCCGATATTTTTAAAATAGAATTAGTTATAAATGAATAATAACAAAACAAACATTTAAGTATAGACAATAATTATTGTAGTTATATTCTATGGTTAGAAAACACTTATAAATACTTATATATATGTATATATATATATATAAATATTTATTTATTTTCATTTTAAATTTAATTTTTACAACCAAACAACCAAAATTTTTTTGTTGCTCAATAAATGTGCATGAGTTGTTTGTGTAATTACACTCTTGATTGCTCTGCGATGGCACGACACGATTGTTGTACAAAATTACAGTCGAGTAAGTACTATACTCAACCGACATGGTTCTTGGGACACTTTTCTGTTTCTAAAACTAAGGCTACTACTTCAAGGATGGTGTTTTGATCCGACTCACGTTATAAACGAAAAAGAGTAGAAGATGTTAAAACGATAACTACTTGAGCCAATGAAAGCTGCATAGAGTTTCCATATTGAAACTGATTTTGAAAACAACAAAATTAATTTGAATTTAGGATTTCTTGTTTTTAACTTAATCATTTTGGTCACATTTTCTGTTTTCTATAAAATATTGTTATAATTTAGTTCTTTAAATAAATTACATAAGATAATTTAATTCTCTTTAGAGGCATTTTCACGTCATTAACCACCTGCAGATTTTAAAGCTTGTGGACTCAAGGATTGCGGCGTCGGTCTGCTAGTTGCATACACTTTGGGTTTTGTATACTGATACGTTGTCTTTGGTAGAATTGTGCTCGATGGTGTGGTGTAAACAATGCCCAATCCTTGTTGAGGACCATTTAACTGCTTGTAACTATATCGAACGCGGAAACCATTCTTGCCTGCGTTGTATATCCAGTTCGCCATTGCATTCGGATTCATAAAATTTATTTGTATCAATCCAGATACAGATAGTTGTTCATCAGAGCTTCCAGATGCTTGTAGACTGCCAATTTCATCGCGAAAATTATTATCAGGAAGTTTTATGCTAAAAGCAGTTAATATTATTCATATTCTCAAACTAATATTTTAAAGTTTACCTCAATTCGTATAAAGTTTTATTGGATTCCTGTTGAACTCTAGGTAGTACATCGGTTTGTGGGTACTGCGTACTCTCTGACACCAAAATACAGTAAAGTGCAATTTGCAAAGCCTTTATACAAGAAACAAACAACAATTAATTTGTATTTTAAAAAAGTTTACTGCCTTACGAAAGCATTCCAAGTAACTTTAAGATCCATTATTTTCAAAGATCTTCACTTTGCGGCAGTTTAAAAATAACTAATCACATAATGAAATTAATTTTTGTTTATGAGAGAAAAATTGTTTTTAATACAAAAGTCCCACCGGTGAACTATCGCCACAGATTTTTCTATATAAAATTAGTATTTGCCATTTCTAAAAATATGAGACTAAGTTACAAAATTCATCTTTCAAATACAAATTTAAAGGGGAAGGAATTCGGAAATTATGAACTTCACATAACTTATCTAGAATCGGCTTCTTCTCAGACCACAATAAAGTGATTTCACTGATTGGGAAGACGAACACTTTAGAGACTCGTTTTGACTCTGAAATTTCAAATATTGACATTGCTCTTCAAATCCCATCCAAATATGTAAATATACATAAATTAATTAATATCAATTTTCTTCTAGTAGAATTTATTTTAATTATGTGAATATATTCCTTTTGACGTCAGAC